CGTGCAACACTCTGTGAGTGCGATGCATTCTGGGAGAGAACTCGAACGGTGCCAGTGCGTGTGAAACGAACTCGCTATTTATTAAACGTATATGTGACGCTGTAGCAAAATATTGATTGGGTAGTCTTTGACATTATAATAAATCACCTAGCAAAAAATAAATTCTTTAAAAGAGCTATGCAACAGTTTCAGTGTTTTGCTTATAGCGAGTTCGTTTCACGGCACTCGTGCCCACGCGTGCCCACTCGCAGCGTGGAACGGGTTCGTTTCGGCCGGCACTCCACGAGTGGTTGCACTCTCCGAGTTCGTTTCAGCGCTGACACCCCCCGCGTGCATGCACTCGCTGCACCGAGAAAATCGGGAGTGCGCCAAAATGCAATCCCGTCATGCCTCGCTCCGGCGGGGCCGGCGGGGAGCGGGAGCAGACGACGAGGGTTTGTCTGCTACGATGTGTCGCGGAACGGGAAAAAAGTAGATTTTCTGACAGAAATCGCGTCCCGCGGGCCACGAAATCAAACGCGAGCTTGAATTGTGAGCGTCTGCTATTTCCCAAAGGCAGCAATTGACAACCCGTGATTTATTTGCAGGTTTTAAATCGCTCTGTTGCCGTACAAACGCTGAAATATACCAGTGTGTAAAGGAATGCTCAGAACAAACGTAACAGCGGCCCCCGAGATATCTATCACCATCCGTGTGCGGGTGAAAAATTTAACATTTGTCGACAAAACTCCCCCAGCAGCAACCTCTGACTGCCCAATAAGCATCAAAGAAAGCTAAAGATGGTAACTTTACCCGAGGATTACGCAACATCATCATGTTTAACATTTACCTACGTCAGCTAACTTGCCCCGTCGTATTTTGTTCAAAAATTCTCTCGTTCTCGACGCTCTCACCAAGGCTAATATCTGATCCGCCTATAAGGACGATCCAAATCGAAAGTCCCAGTTTTGCTGGATATTCCAACAGGCTAGTTTTAAGCCGCACCCTTTCAGTGGTTCACGCATAATACCATGCTCAAACGGATCATGCTTGTGCTCGGAGAGCATCATCAGTTTTCTTCAGTGTAAACGGTTATAAGAATTGAAAGATCGCAACCAGCTGCTTTGTAGACAGCTGGTTGCGGAAATTTACGCCGTCTGTAACTATCTCTACGGCAGCCGAGCTGCTTGAAGTCATCGCAACTATAAACTACAGGTTGCAGCGACCAACGTTTGTAGATAGACGTTGGTAGCGACTGCATTCTCGCATTCCCACGCATCACTCCGATCAGAAAGCCGCTAGTTTCGGTTTAAAGTCGGCAGCTTTTGTACAACATAGATGGCGGCAGCAGCAGTCTTCTGCGCTCGGTGCATTTGGCGAGTTCGTTTGAGTCCAGTTTTCCGTGCAACACTCTGAGAGTGCGATGCATTCTGGGAGAGAACTCGAACGGTGCCAGTGCGTGTGAAACGAACTCGGTATTAAATAATTCGGGAGTTGGTGTCTCGACCTTTCTGAAGTAAAAAACAAAAAACCGCTTTTACCGCATGTCCTAGTTTTTATTTTAAAAATGGACAAAGATTGGGGTTTTCGGCCCCTCTCAACTCCTTCACCATCTTCCGAGTCACGTGCGCTGTGACGTCAATGGGGTTTGCGCGGGGTTCTGGTGAGGATCTCTTTCTCCATCAGTGAGAAACGAGAACTCATCCGCTCGCAATCGAGGAAGTTTCATCCGGGACCGGCCATCCCCGTCCGGCGCTGTCCCGCTCCCCCTCCGGCTTGTGGTGGCTGTTCGCGGTGACAGATAGAGCTGACGGTTTTGTGGACCTAGGATAGATGGCGCCACTAAAACTCCGTATAATCAAAGTTTTGTCGATGATACCAGGTTTTTGACGCATTTATATTTATGTTGGAACGACCCGATGTATAGAAAAGTTACCTTTTATCGAGCAGGTATTCGCACAACTTGCTATCTTTCTACAAGATTCCCATTAACGCCACGCCGCGTGTTTCTCATGGCCGCCGCTCGCGGCTTACGCGGCGGAATCGGAACATTTCGAAGGAAGGAGGTGTGTTTTCTGTCCTTTGTGACAAAGTGAACAATATCAAAAGTAGAAGATGCCAATTCTTTCACCGTTTAAATCGTTGCACAGCTCCCTTAAAGGGATACTCCACCGTTTTTTTTCATTGTCTCCGATTTGCTTGAAATTTTGCTAAGCTAACCAACAAACATTGCTAAAATAGTATCCCAAATATTAGGTCAAAATATTGTTTTTTCGCGAAGTTATTGAATTTACAATTTTGGTCTTCACCATGTTTTTCAAACTGAAAGTCTCTACTGGCAACAACGAAAAAGTGACGTCAGTGGAAGGCAGGGGTTAACTTTTTGGACTACAGAAGTTGTTCTTAGAGGATTTGAAGCAGTTTCTTGGTGTCAAATGAATGCTTTGGAAGCTCGCTCCCGTATCCGCGCTCCAGCACGGAACAAATGATTGGCACATTCTATTTTTAGACTACTTCCTCGACTGGCAAGCCTGCCTGCCACTGACGTCACGGCACGGAAAAGTGCGCGAATATTTGAATATTGGTTTTTGCACCATTTTCATTTGCCGATTTCACAATACCTATTATGAATTTCGCGATACTAAATAGCATACCGGAAAGGCTAAATGCCGGGGAGTTAGAAAATATAGTTAGTTGATGTAGCTCAAAAAATCGGTGGACTACCCCTTTAAAGGGGTATGGAAACGAAAATTGAAATATACAAATTTCGTTCTGAACTGAATCAAGCATGACGGATAAAAACAGGCTCGAGGTACACCTAAGCACTTCTTACGAGTTGCGATTGCGAATGCGAAGGCATGCATGCCGTTCCTCCTTCGCTCCCTCATTTCGTCTGCGGCGTCTCAGGACGTCTGCGTCGACGGTCGAGAGCGCGCGCTCCTCGCCGCGCTGACCTTGGGCGTGAAGCGCGCGCGGATTCTGACGCGCGGCTAGTGCTTCATATCACTGCCGTTCTGCGTGGCTTTCTGCGTGGTTTCAAAGCTGGGATGCTTCAGATCGTGGCTTCGGGAATTTATCTGCCATTTGGCGCGGCTGATGACGTCGACCCGCTCCATGGGATAGTTGATGCGTTCGCATTAATAACCGTAAATGATAATCGCACGTTTCTATTTTGAACGAGTGGTTATATTTTTCGCTCTAAACGGTGCACAAGAGCAACCGCTCGAAGAGAAGTGAACGGAGAGCGCGATGCGTCAAAGCATATCCGGCGAAAAACAAAAAAAAATCTTGGATTCGTGACATAGGTGGGCTGGCGTGGTTATGAGCTTTGTTGTTGGTGGCGTTGTCAGGCGTTCTGGTGGTGTCAATAGCGTCACCGTGTAACAACCGAGCTGTTCGAAGTACCCGTGGGGTGACGATCGTGTGGCTTGCCCAATGAGCACGTAGCTTCCACAGTACTGTCAGCTCAGGGGCGAACGGAGAGAAGAAGAAGCACCTTTTGTCCGAGTTTTGAGCGACGGGCTAATCTTCTAGTGAGAGAATGGCAGTGTCTGGGTGCACAAACGAGGCTGAGAGCAAGAAGGGAGTCCCTCCTTTTCGTCTTGAACTGTTTGGTACAATGCGCAATTTGTGAGTTGAGGAGGAAAGCTACGGAAAAAGTTGAAAATCATCGTTTCGACCGCTTTAAACAGTTCAGCATACTTTCATGTGGCTATGTAACGGTTCCTCCTACGTCATGACTCACATAGCAAGATCCCCAACGTTGCTAGATTACCTCCCAACTAAGCTTCACAGGCATCCCCCAGGCACACATTGAAAGATGTTTAATTAGCTTTAAATGTAGTTTTCTTGTGCCTTTCAACGAAAGACTGGTGTTTTTGAGGTTATACTGCAATCCGCAACAGATTTAACCTAGAAAATGAGCGCTGGAATTTCGTTTCCGTACCCTAAGCCGCGCACAGCCAGGCGTCGGTGGGCGAACCTAGAGTTCCTGTAAGAGCCTATACAGGAACTCCAGGCGAACCCCACATGGCTTGAGGTTCGTAGCGACACCACTCACCAAGCCCCTACTAAAGCAGGTGACCCCCGCGTCCGAGTATGGGGGCCCAGATGGCTGGGGTCCGCACCTAACACCAAGGTGTAGGCACCCCCTACGGGGAAGATTCATTCTCACTGCATTTGGAAACTACATTTCGTTAAAACATAGAATCTAGGGAAACGATAGACTAAAATACTTGTATTCCTTCATGGCAAACTTAACCTTAATGTTGAAAATTATATGTTCTCCTCCACTATGTCGTTCAGAATCAATCATACAAAATCTTTCCAGCAGTATAGACTTAAAACAGGTTTATAAAGATTCATTTCTTCCTTATTCAAAAGATATAGTAACTTTTTTCAACTGAAAAATTTACTGATGTCATTAACAGCATTTTTAATTAGATCACTTTTGCATGCATGTTCCTTTTTCTGTATATTATTTAGATCACTCTCACGTGCGTGTGTTTTTTTTTCTATATATTTTAACATTGTAAGTCACTCCTGCTACGACTCTCAATGGAAAGCAGTAGTATTCCTAACTAAATAAATAGAGATGGCCAACACCATATTTTTCACCATTTTTCTCATTTTGGGTGGGCATTCTTATGGGATTTTACGGTAGTACAATGCAGGCCTAAGAAGGGCTGCACACCTTTTTGAGCCTGCACAGCAGCTCTCTTAAGAGAGAATTCCCGTAAGAGAACTGCCGCATAACCAGGCAGCAGAAGGACGCTTTCCCGGAAAAGAGAATGTTTATTTTACAATATGGTACAACGTTCCAGAACACACAATTTGTCTCTTTCACACCCAGTCGCTCGCGCACGAAATAAAGCGGGAAACGGGGCCTCCTTTTCCCCCGTCTCCGCCAATGTGTCTGCAGGCATAAATAGCGATGAAGTTCATTCCCAGTCGTCACTTCAATCACACTCGATGATGCCACAAACAAAGCCTGTTTGGAAACCCCAGTTTGCACGTACGGGAAAAAAAAAAAGAAAAGCAAATAATCGAGAAGACGAGGAGGCTACGACGTTGAGCAAGTCTTTCCGGACGGCACGAGTCGGTTTCCGACGCCCCGAAGTTTGTCCCAAAACTTCCCGGAGCACGAGTTGCCGACGCTCCACCGCCGTGCTAGGACGCCGCAGCGTCTTCGTCGTCGTCCACGGGCAACTTTACGACGATGCATGTGTCTCCGTCCCCCGACACCCACTCCGAGGTGTCTGCCAGGTCCTCCTCGTCTTCCCCGTCCTCCCCGGTGGCGGGACCCGCTGCCTCATCCGCCTTCTTCCCGTCTTCCTCGCGCCGCTCCACCGGCTCCGGCACCCACTCCGTCTCACCCGGGCCGCCGCCGACCGCCGGCTTGCGGTACACGAACACCGTCTGGCCCGTCTTGAGCGTGACGCGCTTGATGACGCATGGCCCAATGAGGTGCTGGGCCGCGGCCGCCACCTTGGACAGGTCCCCCAGCACGGTGCCCTTGGCCGGGTACAGCGTGTACTTGCGGGGCTCTTCCGGATTCGCCGGCAAGGTCCGCAGCGAGCCGATACGTCCGCCGTCCAGCTTGTACGTCAGCGAGGCCGGATCCGGCGTTGCCGGTGGGTGGATCCGCACCGTCGGCACGCCAGCGTTCCGCGGGGGAGTTGGCGTGCTCGCACAGCTTGGGGCTTTGGAGTCTCGGTGATGAGGGTTGGCAACCAAGGGGCCCTGGTGGACCGCAGGATGCTGCGGTCGCGGCTTGGGCTGTGGCTTGGGTTGTGGCTTGAGCGGCGGCCTGGCTTGCGGCTTGACTTGCGGCTTCGGCGGCGACTTCGGAGGGGCTTGTTGTTTTTCTGCGTGTGAAGCAAAGAACAAAGCGTGAGTGTCATGTTACCACCCTACTCGTCGATTTTGCGAGACATGTCGTAAATCTCTCTTTCTTTCTTTTCGCATTCCTCCATTGACCTGGAGGTGGGACAGGGACCTGGAGACGAGGTCCTTGCCCTTTTACGGTTCTAGCAAAAGGCACTTTGCATTGTTTCTAGAAAAAAAAAAAAAAAAAGGAACCTCCGTCGCCTACAAAAAAAGAAGCAAAGTTGTGCAACAACTATACAAGAAAGAAAAAGAAAAAAGAATGCAAGTTTTTAATGCCACTTACTGGATGGGATCAATATTTTCGATGATTTCGACAAATGCATTTCATCTAATGTGACGACCCTGACCTGGCCAGACTACCATACTTTCTGAACCAGAGTCCGCAGACTGTTTGAAAGTTGAAATTTCACCCGATGCAGACTATCTACAGGTGCGAAATATACCCAATGTTTTCTTCGAGATCATTCACTGTGACGAGGCGTGAAGGATTTTAATGATGAAGTATATTAATGTTTGTATAATACAAGCTTCCTTGGGGCTAATACAGCAGGCATTTGTAAAGGCGTGCTGTGCACAATAATTTTTATGTTTGGACTAGGCACTAAGCGCAGACTATGCACGGCGTGCCGGGTGCCCGGAAAATATGGTATGTAGGAAATTATACTGGTACCCTTCACAAACTGCTTGCGCTGAACACTAATAGGTGTGATTCCCTTTCAATGCACTCGCTCTGCACTCAAGTCATGAATTCGTTAAAAAAACGCTGCGATGAAAAAAAAAATTTTTTTTCTAAAATGCTTAAATGGAGCACATATAGTGAAAAAAAATTCTACCACAAAAAATGATTTTTTTTAAAGCAATATTTACGTTGTTAGACGCTATTTAGGTGCAGGAGGTAGAGGGTGCAGTCCGCTAAGCCCTGTCTCGTGCTTACAGGATGCTTGTTCCATTTCTCATTGACTGGAGAGATATTTGACACGTGAAAGAATGGTTGTAAATTTGTAACTCCGTGCTGTAAAAGCATTAATTGATTTTTTTTTTTTTTTTTAAGTTTGAGAAGCAAATAATTAAGATAGAATCTTCACTGTTTTCAAATATATTCCGAGATTGCTTCTGCTCCGATTTGAAACGTTAAAAAACATGGCTGCCGGAGTCTTCTGCGGTGTGCTGAACGATCATAGCTCGTTGGGCTCGTCAATTTCTGTAGGTGTTATTTGTTTTTTGAGTCTACAGAGGTGTTTCGAGGAATTAAGATCTCCTCAACCGACGTAGTTTACAGCTGCGCGGATGCTCGTTGTCGTATCGGGACTGGCCCAAGCCTAGCGTCCCACATCAACTACTTTGATCGACCTGGCTCGATTTCCTTCTTTGTGCGTGTTGGAGCGGAAAAAAGATGTTAGTTCCCGTAAAAGTGGCCCCGCTGCTTTGTGAATTGTGCAACCGTCGCGACTGCAACCAGGGTTGCAATGCCAAGAGGGTACCTACACAGGTGAGAATTTGGGACCCGTCTGTCTGGAGGCGATCAGAAGTTCAGCCCGCATCAACTTTGTATAGGTATGGTCCCGTCATTTCGCCTCGAAAGGAAAGAAGCTCTCAAGTTTTGCGGTACACCTGGCCAAACAAAGCGAATGTATTTATGTCGCGTTCTAATTGTGCGTCATGACGCTCACCCACCTTGCTCGTGGATGCCACGTGAAAAAAATAACAAGAACAGCGTGATGTACCATTTGCCATTTGGGATATTGCGAGGGTGTTGTCGTCTGGGCTCAATAGGTCGTGTTCGCTATACACGGCGAACACACACATAATGCACGGCAAACAGCAAAACTAGAAGGACTGTATATTGCTTTGTTGGTTCTTTTAGTTCTCTCGGTCGCTTATCAATGAACATCGATCAACGCCGACAGACGCTTGTATTGGACCGCAGCTCGTGCATGATGGAATGCTAGAGCGTTTCTTTCATGGTCGCGTCTTGTGATCGTTCCAGGGACGGGACAGCGGACGGACAAAGGCAAAAACGCTTTCATATCCACGTCTCGCGGGCATTGCAGACGACAATAGACGGTGGTGAAAAAGCCGACGATTCCGGAGGCTTCCGCGTGTCTGCTCGCACGACTAGCAGGCGGTTAGACTTCCAGACTAGACACACCGGACGTCGCGAAAGGGAGACACTGGACTTGCTAACGTGTTCTTGATAGTGTGTTTGGTCAAGCAGCCAAGCCATTCCAGCAGTAATGGGCGGGGCCACTTATTTATGGGCGGGGCTTAGAGCGGGCCATGAACTCTACCTCAATTCTGTCTAACGTAAATATGGCACAATTTTTTTTTTTTTTTTTTTTTTTTTTGTGGCAAAATGATTTAGAATATATGTGTGTACCAAAAAATGATTTAGAATATATGTGTGTACCAAATAAGAAAAAAATTTTTTTTCCACTGCAGCGTTTTTTTTTTTTTTATTTTTTAGGGAATCCTGTGGTCAAAGTGCATACTTGTCTTTGACAGCTAGCATAAGCCTCAGTTGGTGGTAGAGCCTGGCAGCAAGCACTCTTAGAATAGCATGTTCTTGAGCAAAGACTTCTCTGCTGCAATTTGGACTCACATAAATTCCTGCTCGGGTGGTTCTAGTCCTGTACCTTTTTCATCATTGTTGGTAAGCACAGTGTTTCGTTCCGTTGCCGTTCCAACACCCCGTGCCTCACAAAGTGCCACAATGAGCTTGAGGAACAATTTTGAAAAAAAAAAAGTCGCCCCTTTGCCACATTAGCGTACAAAGCCCACTCTAACACAGAGTGTGAACAAGTTAGCGTGAAGAAACTATGTACACATGCGGAGACTGGATGGCGCAAATGGTGGCATGCATAATCTATTAGTTTAGAATAAAAAGGCAGTGGTAAAGTGGCGTGCACCACCCAAGTGCGGCCGCTCGTTGTTTACCCCACGTTATGGGGTCTTCGGTGTGGCGACGTCTAGTCGCAACCTGAAGATTAGTTTGAAAAAAATTAACCATCACTATACCCCCCCTATTCTGGGTACGAGTTTGCTAGACATGTATTTGTCTCGACTACAGGCGTGCCTTTGGTGGCACCTCCCAACTCGACGAGCGGCGTCGCTGTCCCCATCGCCGAAGGACTGCGTGATGTCCCCTTGGCACGCCGTGTGCCATGTGCGTTTCTCCGTCACTCCCTCTCAAGCTCTTTCTCTGGGGAAGCCCGCAGCACATTCATTTCACCTAGCAGAGCATCTGTGTCACTCCAAGAGTGACACGGACGCCCTCGAGGAAGGCGTTCGGCCGGCACCTGTGTCCAGTCGGTGAAGAGACGGACACTGCGTCGGCGTTGGGCGGGCAGTGGGCTTATTGACTTCCGTCGCTGGTTAGCAAACGAAAATGGTTACGTGCCAGCATTACAACGTGTTCCGTGTTAGAAAAAGCAGTTGCGAACAAACTTGAGCAACGGGGCCACCGTTTGTTGAGTGTGTTGCACCTTGTGTATTAGGTCTGCAGTGGCGGCCACTGAACCTGCAATCGTTGATGCAACACTTCGACGAATGGTTAACTTATGTGCGCCGGTGGAGTGAGTGCTTTCCAACAGTTTGCACCGTCTTAAGAGCAGTCCAAACAGGACATACTTTCTAGCAAAAAAAGAATGTGTGCACGCTTCTAAAAAAATGTTAACGTTTTGGCACGCGCGCAGATTTTCAGGCTTGCCTCTTCGCTGTCACCTCTTCGCCCTTCTTCTTTTCGGAAGATTAGGGACTGACAACAGCAGTAGAGACCTTGATGCTAGAGCATGCAAGTGGCTATGTTCAGACCCACGTGACGAGCAGGCTCCAAGGCTTTGTCCCAGGACACAAGTCGGTCGTGGCGAAGAGCGATTCTCCCCCCCTCCACCCCACCCCCCTCCCAGCAAAACATGTCCCAAAGCAGACCCAAAGTGTACCTAAACTCCAGCAAATGCTGTGCAGTCAGAAAGTGTGTCTCACTTTGACAGCCCTTGAGGCTGTACTTGTGATTGCTGAAACGATGAGTAGTCTAAAATATCTGTTTGAACGAATGTCCGTCTATGATCCTGAGTCAAATTGGGAACTAAAGTGAGCAAGGGGCACAATTGACCTTTTTTAGAGATAGCTGGGCGCATGCGCCAACTCTGAGAGAGGGGAGGAAAGGGAAAGGTGCCATTTTTGGAGGCTCTCTCGTCCGCTCAGTCGTTCAGGCAGTGCTGGTTTGGCTTCACTCCCTCCCTGGCTTCATAGTCGTCATGGCTCACCACTGTGCTGCTGTTTAGTTGCAGAAATAGCAGCAGAAATGGTTGAAATAAAACATTTTATATAGTTCCAGCAGCCTTTTGCGGGTGGCGCACCAAAGCACCTGATGTCCAACACCCTGCCCTTTCTACCTCAGTTTCAGAAGACCCCCTCCCCCCCCCCCGCTTTTTCCAGAAACCTATGACGTGCATATCCTCCTTGTCAGGCGGCCAGGTTCTCAACGTGACGACGCGACATTCTGCTTTTAACTAAAATACAGTAAGTGTTCATGATAGGTTGTACAACGTAGTCATAACGTACCCAATACTCGAGTATCGGGTACGTTATGTGGATAAAGCTTTCCGTTCTTCGGGCGTGCGCTATACAGATTCGTGTCATGCCACGTAAAAATTGAAAAAGAAAAAAAAAAATCGGTCACTGGCAAAACATTTATAAAACGTGCAAAATGGATTCCAGCCCTAAGGAGACGAAACCTTGACGGAACGCCTTGTCACCCAACCTCAAACTCCCCTGTTTGCAAAGCCCACTTCGTTGGAGGTTTGTAAACCTGCTGAATTCAAAGTGAGATTGTTTTTACCATACCGTTCCTTACTTTTTGACGGTGCAAGGGAGCCTTCGCGATATCAAGATCGCCCGGATTTCATCCCGTCAGGATTTGATTACCCGTTCCTGGGTACGGCGATGCCCCGTGCGCACTCGTGGTACAAAGGACGGCGAAGTGACGGAACGCAATAAGCTTGAATAAGTTAGGTGCTCAATGAGTGCGAAATCAGCTGTCTGTAGTGGCCGGGCCTCATAAACGGAGCTCCCAAGCTCCGCACAAAATGGATAATTGAGTCGGGACCGAAACTCGTCATCATCACTTTCCTTACGAAACACTCTGCTTGGAAAGCCGACCCCTTTTCAGTTGCTTGCACGACGCTACACCAAAGTGACGATTAAATGACTCCGAGTCGACGGTAGGAACCGATGCGGCGTCGGCGGTCGATCCATCTTTGAAGGTATAAAAACGAACAAGGTCGTCTGCATTGTAGAGAGTAGCTTTCATTAATCCTCGAGGGTCTGTCCTCAGCCATTCCGAAGTAAAGATGCACGCGAAGCGACGACTGGCCTGGCGTTGGCGCGGACCACGGAGCGACGATACCGGAGCCTTAAATACCGTTTCGAGCGATTCCCGCGAGGGCGCGCCACGATCGAGGCCAAACTCAGAAAAAGGTCAATTGAGCAGTTTTGAAACTCCCATGCAGCTCCAAAAGCTGACCCGGGAATCAGACGGTGCTTGGGCAAGGACAGCTGCTAGGAGCGTTGATGAGTGCTGTTTCCGTCCCTGCACGCTTTTTTTTCTTTTTTTTTCTAGGGTCCTCGCTTTGTTATCGAGAAGAGTGTCGAAGCGTAAAATGATGCGATTACAAAACAAGCTTTTCATCGATACCAAGGTTGCTGCGCCCAGCCACGGCATAACAGAGGCAAGGTGGTTCGAAACATGGGCATTTCTAGCGTTCATGAGGCATTATCTTGCTGCATACACTAGCATAGATGATTATTTAGCATCTTCATTGTTCTTTTTTTTTTTTTTTGCAAGAAAATTCGCGATCGCACGAAAAAAAAGTCTCAAGATGCCGAAATTTCCCATTTCTTTTACACATTCTTGGGGAGCCCGCTAGTTTTCATAGGAAACAAGTCTCTTTGCGAGCAGCCTCAACCCTTTCCCCTGGCAAGTGCACCCATCTTTGCCAATATATGACTGAGATTGTTCTGTAAGGCTGACCCCGAAAGTCCCGTCTACAGTATACAGTATGCCAAGTGCACTCCTAAGTGAACTGTAAACTCCCACTGGTGACGTCAAGGTCTAAACAAAGTCAAGGAAACCTTTCAGCAACAATCCCCATGTCATGCTTGTGCGCTGCTATGCGATGAATCGCACACGTGCGATGAATCGCACGTGTTCAGTTGTTCGCGCTCAACTCTTAGAGAGCCTTATAACTCAAACTTTTGGCCAGTCCCACGGAGTGTGTGGTACAGGGTATTCGGGCAACTTCTGGTTGTCATGACGGGAGCAGAGAAATACCTCCGTTTCTGGCTGGGTGCAGGACGACTCCTGATTCACTAACAAGTAATTGCGTGTGAGCTCACTGTAGAAATGCCCGTGTAGTGCTTTTAGGGGCCCGATCTGAGCCGGTAGGAACAAAATGCAACGAGCGAAGCTCCTTCAGTCTTCTCGAGACGAGGGACGCCGCCGACATCACTGAGCTTGGGCGATCGCGGGATGGCGGCATTTCGCCGATGGGCATAACGGCGCTCACCCGCTCAGATGTGCTCACGACGGAGGACGCAACATGCGACACCGGAGGACAAGGTGTCTCAACCGGCCATCTCCGTACAGCTATAAATGCCAACCAGGTCCTTATGGCACATAGAAATGCCAAGCGACAGGGAGATCTGGGAAAGGAACCTCGCGTACTGAAGCAAGTGAGTCGGAGCACTCGAACATGGTACTTTCTATGGACTCGCACCACACCAAAGGAAGCACCATTCAAACTCCGGAAGACCATCTGCTAGAAGCAAAACCCGACTCGACGACCCCTGTAGGGAAGCTTAGCGCATATCTTTGGCGCCTCGGGGAGGTAGGTGCCCATTGCCGACGCCTTCGCATTCAAGGTAGCTGAAGGCGTCCAAGGACTTGTACGTTTTAAGCGGTTCTTGGGTTTATGGATCGGGCGGAACAGTGGCTCGGCCTGGGAGTATGCCGGCATCGACCCAAGACCCCAAACAAACATAGACGACAACACCACCCCCCACTCTGTCCACAATTAGAAAAGAGACTGGGGTCCTCAGGACCGCCAAATCGGCACTGTACCAGGGCATCCGTTGGCTCCCCTGTGACCTACTGTTCTTTTTCCCTTAAAGCATTTATAGGGCCAGCTCTCGGAGCTTTCGCGTGCAAGTCTCGGATGTAGCCTCGTTTGGGTGCGCCCGGCTGTGGCAAAGCCGATCGCGCTAAAAGCCAGCGAGGCTCGCGGGCTCTGCGTATTACGCACAAGCGACAATGGCGGGTGCAGCAAAGTGAAGAAAGGCAAGCTGCAAAATGGGAGTGCCATGCCCAGCCGAGACGAGACCGACCGGCTGTTCTGGCGCCAGTTCACAGACAATCCGTTTGGTGCAGTGCGCAATGCGTTCTAAATAGATGCCTTCAAGAAGTCCGTCGAGCAACATTGTAAACGAAGCGCAATCAGATTTAACTCCTCACTAAACGCCGACGCAGCCCTCGTGACCAACACATGCTCAGAGTACGCGATCGAGCAACAGCGAACAGGCGGTGGCACGGACTTTAGAAAAGGGTGTACCAGTCGTGTTTTCCTGAGTGTCCCGCATGGTGCACTCACCCGAAATCGAAGAAGCAGGCGACCCCTTCCGAGGTTTCTTCTTGACGGAGCCCTCAGACGAAGGCTTCTTGCCGGAGCTCTTGCCTGTCGGGGAAAATGGACCCGGGTCACTCGGTGACGGGGTGCGATCGGCCTCCGCCCCAAGACCCGTTGGCACGGCGAGGGAGCCTCGAGAGCCGCGCTACTGCGTCGTACCGTGCTGTCCGGAAAGCGCGTCCACGACCGGTCTGTATAGCGCTTCCTCAAAAGTGGTCCCTACGTTTCTGCCCAACGAGAAGCTTCGCGCCGGTGCCCGTTACAATCCCGGCGTGGCATAATGGTGGAGGAAGGTGCAATAGACACCCTTTGGCCTCCGGGTTTTTGATCTGGCGACCGGGAGCTAGAGCACTGCCCATAGACGGTTACTCTCTCGTTCGATCCTACTTTTGGCTAGAACTTCGACGAACCGACCGCCAGGATTGCGACATCCGACAGCGCGATGTGCCAACTTTCACCGCTTCAGGACCACTTTCGACGAGCGCAAGTTCATCCGCTTCTCGCACGGGGATTGTGACGATGTCGCAGTGCCGAGCTCTTGCTGGCCGATCGAAAAAAAAATAGCGGGTAGGCGTCGAGGCGTCTGGCGTCAAGGTCTACCCGCTATCCTTCCGATCAAAGCCGATCGGAGGTTGGCGTTGTACTGACGTCGCCACAAGTTCTGCGCAAGAAGCGGACGACTTGCTCTCCGCACGGGACGCCAGATGCACCGGTCCATGACGAGTTCCAGGCACCCCACTTACGCTTCCAAGACTGTTTTGACTTCAAGTTGGTGGGACGGTAATGCTTTCAAAAAGGTACAATGGAGATTGGACTCTCACAAAGTTTAAGGGGAAAAGCTGGGCGCCTGCAGCAGGCGTAGTGCATCTAGGTTTGAGAGTTTCTAGCTGCTAGACCGCACGTTCAGTTGCTTCCCTTCTTCAGTCTAGGCTCTCTCGGCAGCTCAAAAGCACCGTGAAAAATGAGGGAGAGTTACTGGACGGGAATAGCGCCCAAGTACACGACGATAAAAGAGTGCACCACACCAGTTGTGAAGGGACCACGGCACACTTCTCGCGTGTTCAAGTTCGAACTTATTAGCTTATTAGGGAGCCACTTATTAGCCTCAAAGACGTTTGTTTGAATATATTACGAGGGGGGAGGGGGGATCAAAATCGAAAAGCACTCAACACATTAGCAACAAAATGAACTAAGATGAAATAACAAACTTGAAACAGGCTATACACAATTTGAGCACTCGTTATTTCAACCAAAAATGCAGTAATATCTGCAATTACTAGAAAACATGAACACACACGAGGTTTAAAACAACATCCCAACAACAAAGCTAAACATCTTTTTTGCAAAATATGATTTTGCCACCTTCAGTAGCTATATCGTTCGAGAGGCAGTTCTAATTTTCAATAGACGGAGCAAAAGGAGAGTATTCGAATCTATTAGTGCGGTTGAATAGACATTTGTTCTGTCGTAGCCCGAGATCATTTGACAATCGTTGGCAAAGGTGGTTTCTGAAACGGGGGGATCCTCTGAATCCTTTTTCTTTTTTCTTGCAACACCTGGAATCTCAATCGTTTCCCTGTTAACTGCTCCTATCTCTCTCACCCCCCACCCTCCCCAACACTCCCCTAAGCTCAACGAAAAAAACTTTCAGCCTTTCCACTCTAGTAAAGAAGGAAGACCAGCAAACCTGTACTATGGTGGGAATGAAGTATGTATACATAAATGTAAGGATTAAGGTGTGATGGTGCAATTGGTTATTTGAACGATTAAAGAATCAGACATACAGTTGAATCTGAATTTAACGAAACTCGATGTTACAAATTTCCCAATTTAACAAAGTAATTAGCGGGTCCCGGTGACTGTTAAATCGAGGTTCAACTACATATAACGATCCAAGGTTATTTACTTCGTAACCACGAGGACGACGTCCTCGTGGTTACGAACAAGGATGTCCTCGAGGACGTCTAGGACGACCTCGAGGATGACTTCTTGGATGACCTCAAGGACAATGCCTAGAGGACGACGCCGAGGACGACGTCTAGGACGACCTCAAGGACGACGTCTAGGACGACCTCGAGGGCGACGCCTGGAGGACAACCTCAGGTACGACGTCTAGGACGACTTTAAGGACAATGTCTAGGAGTACCTCAAGGACGACTCCTAAAACGGCCTCGAGGACAATGTCCAGGACGACTCGAGGACAACGTCTAGGATGACTTCAAGGATGACTTCTAGGATGACCTCGAGAACGACCTCGAGGACAACCTCAAGGACGACGTCTAGGACGACCTCAAGGACGACCTCAAGGACGACTTCTAGGACGACACCTAGAGAAATTCAGCCTTTACATTCTGGTGAAAACCAGAGTGGAAAGGCTAGAAAGGTTGCCACCATCTATGAGCGACGCGGCAACCAGACAACTGGCAAGCCGGTTGTCTGGTTGCCGCCGTCGCTCATAGATGGCGGCAGCTGTCTCGAGTTCTGTGTCGACATTTGTTTGTCCACGGTCACGATACTGGGGAAACTAGCCCTTAACAGCTCTGCTGTAAAAACAAAAAAAACAAAAAAAGAAACAGAGGTGAGCTTGGGAAGTATGCAGCCTGAATGTTAAGGTATCGTGGAGTAGCCCATTGAACGAAAGACGTGGATACCATTGATGGTGCACAGATGTCCCACCAATGTGAGTCACGCTATATTTCATGCACGGTTTTAGGTATTTTGAACGAACGCGTGCAGGCAGTCGGAATGTTCATGCAGCGGGTTTGGGCCCTTAAATCGCACAGCTGTTTTAAGATAAACTTCGACTTGTTTCTTGAAGTTAGTCTTTATCGTGGCGACATTTTTTCCTACTGGCATCAATGATTTAACCTTAGACCTGCCTTCGCAAATATGCAATTTGATACATTTTGTATTGTGTTATATTCTGTAATATAGTTTGCTTTGATCCCTCCACTACACCCTGTGCAAGCAAACGGAGTGTGGCAAAAGTCAAAAAGGCGGACCACTGGGAAATTACCCAAGTTCTTTCAATCTTAATTAATGCTGTCCACCACACGTAACCTTCTCAATTCTATGTTTAAAAAATATGACGGGCTCGAACCTTGCTCCGACTTCAATTAGAAAACATGTTGGGCTCGAGCTTAAAAATGGACAAAAAATATGATACCCACGTTTTGTGGCCTCTAAAAAACTGCAAATGCGTTGATTGAAAAAAAAAAAAAAAGTTTAAGTTTAGGAATCTTGTCGGGCTCGGACGGGGCCTATGTTTGGAAAACTTGTTTGGCACGGGCAGGGCCAAGAAATTCAGGTCCGTGGAGTGCTTTAGGTTTCACTACTGTCACGGATAATGGGTGAGGGGTTTTGATTTCTAGACGGGATCGCCTGCCAGACCTTTTGCGCGTTGGTTAATAACATGTTAGGCAGGTCCTGATTAAGAAAGTTAGAAGATATATACTTTTTTCTAATTTGTAAGCTTTTCGCTTTCACTGTATTTAAACCATGCTTCCGGAGTGTTTCTTGACTTGGCTGAGGAAAATAACCGTTTCCTTCGGTTCAGAATTTTCTTATGGTGGTTACTAAACAAAGGGCTCGTCAGGTTTGTGCTAATAAAAACTAGCGAAATGTACTCCTCAACAAGTTTGTAGATTTTATACTTAAGCACAGCCCAGTTCTCAGCTACAGACTGCGTGTCAATAAAGGCCAGGAGTTATAGTCCGAGAAAAGTCAAAAGAGCCCAGCACTCTGATGGTGTCGACCTCGTAATAATTTAAAAACTCTTCCGACAATGTTGCGCCGAGCCGGAGAAAACGTCGAGTTGACAAGGACAGCCTTGTGGTCGCCAATATATACTAGAGCGTGATAAGCGAAAATACAGTTGCGGTCGGTTGTACAGAAGAGATCAAGTACAGAATCACCTTGTGTAGGATTCAAGACTGTTTGGATAAGGTAGCAAAACTGAGCAACTGACAGAAACTCTCCGCACTCCGACGAATCACGACAGCCTGGGCGAAGCGAATAGTCACTGCTCACTGTCGCAAGTGTTGTAACAAATGTTTTGTAGCCAGACACATAAAAAAAATATTTTTAGGCAGGGCCGTGCCTTAAAGGGGTGGTGCAATGATATTGGGTCAAAATGTTTCACTTTACACAAGCTTATTGGCACTACTGGGAACCGAGCGTACTCGCACGCAACGCCATTGACCAGGAACAGTCTTTGCTGCTGCGTAATTTCAAGAATAAAAGCGGACGTTTTCTTTCAGTCTCTCCTTCGCAAAATTTGACGACAAAGTTCCGGGGCTTGCATTATTGGCACCGCTGTCATCAAACTTTCCGGTACCCCACGGTGACGATATCTAAACGTTGCTCGTAAGCGCATACACTCGTACGGCGCAAGTGTTCGACTTGAGCCTGTAACAATCAATGCCTCGACATGCCTCTGGGTAGTGGCTCGTATCCAACCGACGCGACGATGGAAATGGCCGAACATTAACAACGTATAAAATTCGGCCTTGCCAACCCCAGCTACAACAAAACATTGGCGGCATTTTTTCGGTCTCAGATCGTGTGGCCGCTTGTTCTGGCCGCGAGTTGAGGAGGCGAGCGCCGCCCGCGTTTCTCCAATTTTTTTCTGCGACTGCCACTGCGCGAAAAAATTAACGCGTTTCATTAGTTATGAATGTCCAGGAAAAATTCCGAGAGGTATTGAGTGGAAGCACGAAAACCCATTGCGTCACCCCTTTGACGGCAGCGAGAAGAACGGTCGACGACGACACCATCCCCGCTACGGTCACTGGAAAGGTGACAACAGCGGGGTGCGCCTTTCGAAAGCCCGGCCAGCAGCACGTGCCAGTTGCCTTCCACCATGCACCGGCTGCTCGCGCACGCTTTAGGCACGGGAGTTGCTGAAGCATTGCAAAACGCGGGGAGCGTGCGCCACGGGCGGTCAAGCAGAGAGGCCCGCCCACCGTTCCCGTTTTGTCGGGGGTCTCACCCGAATGGGAGGACTTGTGGTGGTGGGAGCTGGGCTGCGGGATCGAGACCTCGTCCGAGATCCTCCGCAACGGCTCCAGGGTTGGAGACGACAGGTCGCACACCTGTGGGGCAACCCACGCGTTTGAGAGAAACCCTTTTGGCCTAGATACGCCCGGGTTTTGAAGGTACCCCTCGTCTCCCCGGGGTGAGGAATATTTCCCATACTAGGTAGTAAGTGGTTCATAGTGTTGCACCATTCACGGGGTAACCGTACGATCCTTGGAGTAGAAAACGGGACGTCGAGGGGATGGGGAGGGAAGAGTGGGGGAGAGGGACCAAGCGAGACAAAAAGGAAAGGCTCTGCTACTACTCAGTTCACCCTGAAAATGCTCACTTTTTCGGGGCTCTTCGTTGAGTGCTTGAGTAAGCAAGCACCTTCCTTACCCATTCTGCGAAAAGTAAGCATGCCAAAGTAGGTGTGGGCAAATCGAATGCGGCGAGAGCCAGACTGGTTGGGACAACTCCGCGGCGTCTGCTGCGGCCCGCCGCGAAGCGGGGCACAGCAGTCGAAACCCACCTGCGCGACCAGCCTGGGCACGGGCTGTGAGGGGGGCAGGGGCTCCAGGCGACTGAGGAAGGTGTGGCCCTTGCGGGCGGCCGCCAGGCACGTCTGCAGGTCCAACTGGCGCCTGCGCAGGCGCCGCTTCTCCCCGTCCAGGTGGTGCGAGAGCGTCTTCAGGCAGCTCAGGTAGCGCAGCGCCTGGACCGGAGGAGGCATGCCGTTAGACAACCTCCACCCTCCCCGGCCAGCAAAGGCTGGAGCGGACTGCGACGCGTCCCAAGCGCTCTCGCCGGCGGTCCCGAGACAGAAGGCACAAAAAAGAGAGCGACGGAAAAGCGCATGATAGGCAAGGCGGGTTCGTTTTAGCACCGTGAGATGAAGCTCTTCAAGCGCTCGTCGACTTTATTTTTTTTTTTTTTTTAAATTCAAGTTCTTTTAAAGGCCTTTGTTAAAGGCATTACATAAGAACAACATACTTCTAGTCACGGAACACGCGACACCGGCATTCTTGAGCAAAATAAAGCCATTTACCTGCTGCAGAATGGAGACCTTGGGCAGTGGCCGTTCGCTGGGGCCACTGAACACGGCGTTCTGGAGGCGCACAAACAGGTCCATGAGCTGCTTGCGGCGCACCCGCTCCCGCGACGCCTTTACCGCCGTCACCTCGTCGACGGCCGCGGACTCCGCCTCCTCCGAGGGAAGGGGAGGGGTCGAGGGTGTGCCCGCCTCCTCCTCCTCGGAGCTCAACTGCTCGGACGTGTCTGGGAGAGAAAAGGCAAAGCAGCGATGCAGCGTCATCCAAAGGGCAAGGGAGAAGGAAAATGAAAAGCGACGTTGAAGGGGCGGGGCAACCGACACCGCCTAGAACGAACGAGGCCCGCGAACCACCTCCTCTTCCTCGGAGGAATGTCGTAACAGTTGAAGGGCGCCAACTCAGCAACTGCACACGAGTACGAAGATATATCGGACACGAGCACCAGCCGAACGCTGACGCAGTACACGTGTCCAATCTGCGTCCTTTGCTCCGTCTCGCCGCAACGACATCCAAATTATGATGCAGAGGCTCCGAACATTCTACCCGGTGTCTCAGATAGCAGCCAGGTTCTCTAAATCAATCGCAAAAATTGGTTTCTTGACCTATTGTTCTACGATTTTGTGCACTATTGCCCACAGGTGGTGCATTTTTTTCTATAAAATTTGCAAAGATTGAACTTACCCGAGAAACAAGTAAAAAGAAAAAGGCTTAACACCTATGAAAACGCAGCGAAGCCGCCGGTCTTCAAACAATAGGGCACCATATGGTTTCAAGACCGATGGCTTCACTGAGCTTACATAGGTGTTAACCGTTTTTTTTGTTGTTTTTTTACTTTTTCCTCAGGTAAGTTTGATCTTTGCAAATTTTATAGAAAAAATGCACCACCTTGGGCAACGCTGCACAAAATCGTAACGCAATAGGTTAAGAAACCGATTTTTGCTGGCAATTTAAAGAGCCTGGCTGCTATTTGAGACACCCGGTAGGTGGTGTTGAGAGGGCCCATCCCGAGCCTCATTCTGGGTGTCGACCAATGAGATCGCTCGCACCTATTCGCGACTCCAGCAAAACGGACGCCACCAAGCGGGAAAACCGGGAACCAGCCGGTCCAGGTAGGGTCCGAAAGTTTGCATGAGTGTTCATTAGTGTGGTGAAGCCTTAGTAGATTTTTTTCCTTTCATCGCATGTTTGAAAGCCCGTTTACTCCACAACAGACGGTCGCGTGCTTTCGATTTCCTGGATGGGGAGGATTCACGGAAAACCGTTTCGATTTCTTGTCTGTCTCGAATCACATTCAAAGTAACGACTACTTGGTGACTGATAAGTGGTTTCTTTGTAAGGATGTAGAACAGTGGACTGAGGACGACAGACGAGGTGTTTCACTGGAGGGAACACCAACGTTGCAGTCAAGCGAATGGGAACGTTCGACAGCTGCTTTTCTTGAGTTTGGTTGTGTTTGATTAGCCTCAAGTTTGTGCCACCCACGCCGGTCGGTGCGTTGGCTATTCATCTTGGCTGCGTTTCGCCGAAAAAGCCTCTGAACCACACTGAAGGAGTTGGGCTGATTTCGCAATTACTTGATTCAGGAAAACCTGCTCGCTGCATATGATTAATGAGGGAAATTGTCTGCTTTCAAAAGGTGGGGGACGTGTCTCGCAAAGTTAGAAGCAGTCACGGCATTATGATCTATCGCGCCTCCAATATTTATATTATACCCCCGTCGAAGCCATCAGCAATATACGTCTACATTGCTCAGGTTTACCGGCCACAGAAAATACTCATTTTCTCCGTTCAGGATTCGAGGTCAAGTTCAATTCAGAGAGGTTCTGCGTGAATCTGCGATGAAGGCACTCTTCAGTTTGTCCGCATTCGTCTCCGTGCTACCGGCTAGAACCATTTGGCTGAGTTTGAGTAGTATCTCTCTGTCTGTCAAATATTATTCAGCAGTTCATCTAATAGCTAGTCAACTAAGCTCATATTTCAACCCGAAGAATATACTAATATCGCTTTAGTGGGACACAGTTCGTAATATAATACATAACCCGCTCGTCAAAATGAATTCTCGATTGCTACTAAAACCAGAATTGAAATAAGAGTATCAGCTGCGTTGTAGGGCGCCAGCGGGTTAAAATGCTCCTCGGCTCAAGAAGCGCTCGCTCAATTTTCGTAATTTTCCTGCAGCCTGTGTTGTTGACCGCACAAAAGCTCGATTTCGTGGACACATAAGTCGCGTGGTCGAGGCATGCGAGTTTGCTGAAAATTACTCTCGGTAGAGCAATTCTGTGGTCATCGCCGCTTTTCTTAGATGATCAAAACTGATTAAAGTCTATTACCGTCTCTCCGGAGCCCATAGTTTCGGTTTCGAACAAAATCTCCGAAACGAAAGTTTGACATGAAAAAAGCAAAAAACAACGGGAAAACAAAACTATGCTTTGCAAGTTTATGTGCACCGGCTACACGTAACCATATCAGTTCAGATACCTATAAAATTTGGCATTAAACAAAAGAACTTCTGTTAAATTGAATGCGCCGCTTGTTCAGGCAGCCCGGCCGAGCCGACGCGACCTGGACTCAGCCGCCATGTTTGTTTGGTGGTGGCGCCCCCTATAGGTCGCTGGAGTCGCGAATACTTCGTTTCAGCTTCGGTCCGAGCGCGGCCGATGTTACGAGCAGAAGGGCCAATCAAACAGCGCAGAAAGCGAAACGTCATGGCGTGCTCTCTGCAGTTGATAGGACCAGCCGGTATTCGCCGTGTCTCTGTGTGCGCTCCTCCTCCGCCGGATAGTCCTATCAAGAGCAGAGAGCACGCCATGACGCTGCGCTTTTTGCGCTCTCTGATTGGCCTTTCGGCTCATAACATCGGCCGCGCTCGGACCGAAGCTGAAACGAAGTATAGAACTCCGTGTTTTTTTGTTTCTTCATAATTTGCATCAGCTCTTGGTTTCGAACGAATGGGTCGGCGTTTGTTGGGGCTTGCGTCGAGGGAACCGTGTCCGACGCATAGGATTGCCTCACCTCCGAGGAATGTGCGTGCGACACAGATACTTGGGTACCAATAAGAGAAGAAAACGGGACAAAGGGTGCAGTGCCCAAAAGCAGCCTCACGAAAGTCCATTGGGGTCGCATTTGGGTGGACAAAAAATAAGTATCTAGGCAAAGGTTTCTTCCCACGAAGCTTGGGAAGAAAAACCCTGCAACACCAAAACACCCCAACAGAGATTTCTCGTATTTCAGGGTCATGCTTCCCAAACTTCAAGAACCCCCCCCCCCCCCCCCCCAAAAAAAAAAAACAAAAAAAAAAAGAATGGTTTTTTTTCGGGATTTAGGGTTTTACTGCCCAAGCTTTGTGGGAAGAAAAACCTTTGTCTAGATAATTTATTTTCCAGGGAAATCCTCAAAATACATGTTGAGGCTTTTCGTGCTTCCCCAAATATAATACAGTGGCTCGAGGGTCATTTTTAGGAATTTAGCGGCACGTAACGAAAACAAGGACCCTTACTCGTACCATATTTTCCCGCATTCCTTTCGTTTGGATGTTTCAACTTGGAAAGCTTCACTAGGCAAGAACTAAATGGCAATTCCAACGAGGGAGAGACGTCTTGGCCCCAGTTACCTCTGAAGGCCTGCAAGTTTCCAGGTGGTGTCCGGCATTGCAGTCCCGACAGCATGGTGCGAGTGTATCTAACCCACCTTAAGTGAACTGCAAAACTCGCCTTCCCAATCTACGACCACAATTCGCCGCAAACGTTCTAAAATGGATAGAATCTTTTCTTAGGTACAGTTCTCAATTTGTTCTCGCTAACGACTCGCCCTCCTCCTTAGCTCCAATCTCCCCCGGCGTCCCGCAAGGCTCTGTACTTGGCCTTTTACTCTTTCTAATCTATATTAATGACCTCCCACTTCAACTTTCTTCTTCAATTCGCCTTTTTGCGGATGATTGCGTAATATATAGACTAATAAAATCTCCCGACGACAACCTGCTACTCCAGAGCGACATTAATAAAATTGCCGACTGGTGCCGTACTTGGCAAATGTCCCTAAATATTAATAAATGCATGCATGTATGTTTCACGCGCTCGTCCTACCCCAACGTAACAACATTAACACTAAATGACACCATCCTTGAGGCCATTACCGAATATAAATATCTTGGTGTTTATTTAACTAATAATTTATCTTGGAATAATCATGTTAATAAGATCATGTCCTCAGCTAATCGCTCTCTTGGTTATATTCGGTGTAATTTCAAGACGGCTCCTTCTAACATCAAAGGCCAGGAGAGGAGTCAAACCACGGGAGAGCGTCCCCCACGTGAGAGTCAAACCTCCAGAGAGCAATAAACCGCTGACGGTGTCAGCAACGAGAGAGCAATCAACTAAGGGAGAGAGTGTCAGCCACTCTAGCAAAAAATCCTGGCAAGAGTGTCAGCCACGTGAGAGCAATAAAACGTAGGGAAAGTGCCCATCACGGGAAATCGTCAAACTGCGCGAGTGCCGCCCACGCGGGCGTCGGCAGCGAACCTTCATTTTGTTGCGAACGCTCTTCGACAGTCTCGCTCACCACGGCCAGATCGACGCGAGCGAAGAAGGTCCGTGAAGGGTTGCCACACTTACCGTAAAATACTGGGGAAGCAAGTGCCCACCCCACTTTCACTGAAAACTGGATTATTCTAAACATGGGTGCTTGCCCAATCAAATCGGGCACTTAACGTATAATTTGCAGGATTCCAAGTTTGGAACATGTTAATAGTGGGCGCTGGAACAAGGTGGGTGCTTCCACGGTATTTTACGGTAAAAGGCATGTAAGAGGTGCTGAGCTTGGGTACCTGAGAGGCTGTCGTCTTCGGCCGGCTTGGTGAGCGAACCCAGGCTGACCAGGCCCTTGGTGCGCTGCGCCGCCAGGTGGTGCAGCGCCGTGCGGCCACCCGGGTCCTTCTCCTTGGGGTCGGCTGCCGCGGCCGGGGATGTAGAGGAGCCCGAGGACGAACCCGACGATGAACTGCTGGACCACGAGCTGCTCGACGACGAAGATGAGTCCCGCGCCCGGGGCGTGGTCGGGGCCGTGGGCTTGGCGCTGAGGAACGGACCGGGACGCTCGAGAACGCCGGCCAGGCTGCCGCGTGCACGGACAGCAAGCTCAAGACAAGACCCCTTGGGTGCTAGCCGCAGAATGTTTTTTGCGGGATGCGGGATTTCGCGAGATGTGTTATTAGCCTTTGGGTTTGGTTACCGTGTTCTTCTTACTATACGGTCCACTCTAATCCAAACTCCAGAACGCCGCAGACTTCAGTTTGAAATATCGGAACTTTGAATTATCCGAAATTTATCTAAATATGATGTGAGTTAAAATAGCGATTTGCTGTAGGAATAGCTACACATACCAAGGAGATCTTTTACACTTTTCTCTACAGCATATTTCTAAGCAGGCACACACATAAAACATAGAAGCAAATAGTGGTTTTGGCCAAATAATTTCTAACTGAATATTGAATAGTTTCCCCGAGCCTTTCACTACTGTTGTACCACGAACCAACAACCCAGCTGAACTCGTGAAGTTTGTTCCCAACCTTCTACTTGCACACTTCTAAGCTCAGTTAGTTTTAATGTAACCACATCTACGAACCGTAGCCTCAGAACACCCAATGCCTACATTGGGGTGGCACGTAAACAACAAATTTGACATAAAATTAAACCTATAGTCCGTTGCAACCTAAGAACGAAGGGCGGAGTAAGACGGGCCGGGGAGGAGGAAGCAGTTGGAACGCTGAAGAAGAGAGAGGGAAACCTCCTTCTCTCTTTAGCGTTCCGTCTGCTTCCTCCTCCCCAGCCCGTTTTACCCTCGCCCTTCGTTCTTAGGTTGCAACGAACTATAGAGAGACGCCCAGCTATCCTAATCCAGGGAATTCGTAAATCTGCTCACTACCATGCTCTTTCTTTAACCTCGAATTCAACCCCCTCAGAAAAATTGAAAAAACAAGCTCGAATAATGAAAGCAGATTGCCGGGACACGTCTGCTCGCACGATCGCGGTGGGTTAGTCCCGTCGTGTGCACTTCTCACCGAGCACTCGCATACTGCGGAAAGCAGTGATACACAATGACTCGTTGACACGGACACCTCCGTTCCCCCCAAAAATCGTGCATAATGTGAGTTGTCCATAATGAGGAGACAAAAATGCACGTATTTTCCCAGTTTGTCCCCTAAAATGGTGTCCATATGGCGGCGTATCCATATTATTGAGGCATGACTGTAGCATGAATTAAGCAAAAACGCTTTTTGAATTCAGCAGCTCATAAATGCGTCGAAAACATAGTGGGAATACAAAATTGTTTTAATTTGATTGAATTAACCGAAGTGTGAAATATCAGTTTTAATTATCGCGAGTCCACTGTCGTCCGTTTTTACTATAGCCCAAGACGGTGGCAGAAACTATTTAGCCGCTATGTGTCGGGAGAGTCGCGTTTGTAGCATCGTCGTCGTCGGCAACACGACGGCAGCCTAGAAACATTACCTGGAAATAAAACTAGCGCGCGGAGCACTGGGCCAGCAAAGTGGGGATGGCGGGGAAGCCTCAAGGTGGCGCAGAGGCTCTGTAGTGCGCATAGCTGCGACAAGCCAGCATCGAATAAGAACTCGCAACGCGAGAGTTATTCTAATACGAAGCTCGCTTAGTTTGACGCTTTTCCACGTCCCCAAGAGCTTCAAAATATCAGAGTCGACCGTACATGTTTTGCCATAGCCGCAATGCCACTGCTACCAAAAGTCGTCTTCAAAGGCTGTCCGCCATACGGCGCCTACGGAAGGTTTCACGACTGAAGTGGTCTATTAACGTCGAACAGTGCCCCCAAACAGACCGCAAACAATCGCGGATCTTTCGAGGCCGGTTCACACGCTCCCGTTTGAGTGCACCTAAGTGTGCAGCCTTCACTTGCGGCAACTAACTCCAGCACGCTACTGCCATCTATGGAACGGCTTTGCAACACTTGCGACCTATGCGCACATTGCCTCTTTTTTTACACACTTTTTCCCACTGTGGGCTTGATCCTATTCGAACGTTACCAGCGACCTACTTTTATAAATGAGGCATAGATCTGACCTTTGACCTTACAAATACTGCAAAACCTCCAGTCTAGTCGTATGCTGATTAGAAGCATTACAGGGTCACCAGATAGATGGCAGCAGCGTACCAATCTTTTCTCTAGCGGCCCAAATTTGAGAGCATTTTCAACGAATCTTATCGTGGTTTATGGGGCACCTCTGTAACAAAAAGGAAGAGGCCAGGGCGTCTTTGCCTCGCACATGCACCCAATCTGTGCGGGAGGCGTGCTCCATTAAACTGTTAGGGCTCTCCACGGTGCAATTTGCTTTCTCTCTTAGATCTAGGCCCTCTAGAGTTTTTGGGTTGTAAGCGGTTAGAACGAGCACTAAATCACGCTCAAACACAAATGCGTGAACCAGTGTTTTAGAGACAAGTGGCTCTCACCTCTCCGCAGGCGGCGACACGGGACCGGCGGCAACAACCGGCTCTGGCCGCGGCGCACGTGGCGGCAGCGCTGACAGCAGCTGGTCCCAGGCGGTGGGTGACAGCAGCAGCTCGGAATCCTGGAACCTCGCCGGCAGCCGGATGGGCCTCCTGCTGCGTGTGCTTCCCCGCGACACTCCCAGCGACCCGCCACCCCTCCCCCGACGCCTCCTCGGGACACCCGCGCATTGGCCCCCGCGTCCCGGCGTGCCCGAACTCGCGTCCGGAGAGTTTGCGGGCGACGACGCAGGAGGAGTCCGGACAGGGGTCGCTGCTGGAGTCGAAGTCCGTGACGTCGGAGTTTGGGTCTTCCAGGCCCAAGGCTTAGACGTCGCGGCCGGAGTCTTGGGGTCTGAACTTTTAGACGCCGGAGTCCGCACCTTGGAGACCGAACTCTTCGACGTCGGACTCGTCGTCTCGGGGTCCGAACCCCTAGCCGTCGGCGAATTGCTGTCCGAACCTGGAGTCGACGCCGCCACAGTCTTCGACCCCCAATACCGGAAGGCCGAAACCCTCGGGGTCTTGGAGTTTGAACTCCCCGACGCCAAAGTCGCGGCCACCGCCGTCTTAGACGCAGAACCCTGAGTGGCCGGCGCCGACTTTGCCTTGGCTCTCGGTGGGCTGTCCTCGAACAGCTGGCGCCTGACGGGTTCCGTGGCCAGTGCCCTGGCGGCCGCGTTGGCATCCCTGCCGTTCAGCTGGGGGCAGACGAAGGTGGGCTCGGCCGAGAGGGCCACTGTCAGGGGCCGGCTCGACTGGGTGCTGGCCACCAGGCGGTCCAGCAGCTCCTGCTGCCGGGGCGTCAGGGTGGCCGGAGGCACCATGGGGAAGTCCGCAACGACGTCCGAAGTGGCACCGGGCACGTCGGCCGGCTCGCTGACGCCAAGGCAGCGGCTCGTCATGGCCAGGAACTCTTCCTCTGGCGGCTCCTGCTTGACCCGCTTGGCCGGAGAGGGCTGCACGGGCGGACGGCCGCGACGCGTTTTAATCCTCCCAAGAGTTGTCCGAAAACGCAATCTTTCTCGACACCCAGTGCACCGCGGAACAGAAAAACTGTGGGAACGACGTCGCTTGCAGAGGTCGCCGCTCCACAGGCTAGAACTCGTAAATGCGAGCAAAGGGGGGACAATTTCAGCGCCCTTCTTTCCAAAAAAAAAAAAAGTGAGAGTGTGCATGCATGGCTCGACCCTCGTAACAAAAATTAATTTCGATACTCGCAATTCTGGGTGCAATAAAAATGTTTTCCCCATCAACTAGTTTGGCTTCCATTCAATAGTTTGAGCAAAAGGCAACGAGTCTGCCGTTCACTTGCAAAAGGTGCTTCTCATTTTGTTAACGAGTCCACCAAAAGCATTATATTAAGTTATTAAGCTCTTTCAAATCAAGGTTTTTCTGGCGGTGGTTTTTCGTGGTCCTCATAACACTTGTCAGGGTACTGCTAAATGCAGTAGTCACAGGCATGTATGATGCAGCTGATGGGAGACCATGCCGCCAGACAGAACACAAGTTCAGGCTGGCAGTTTATTTACAACGCACTACTAGTGGTCCAAAACTAAATATATAACTATCTAAAAAATGTAAAATTGTTAAAACAACTCATTTTTTATTGCTCGAGCTGGACCTGGAAGGGGTTCACAAAACAATTCATTTGACCCGAATTCTGGACAAGTAAACAGAACTGATGTCAGGACTTCTTCGGGATGTCTGACGCAATGGACCTTGACGATGCCAGCAGGGTTGTGGCTAGACACAGTTTCGAGGTCACACACAATGTCAGAAAAGGATGTCTGGTGCAGCTATCTGTGAAATGACGCATATCAAGTGCGGGCCACTGTGGTGGACCACTGCGAGCTCGGATGATGTCAACCTTTGCCTTTGGCTAGTAATGAATTCCCACTTTCAATGTCTCCAAAGAGACATTGAGACGTCCCACAAATGAACAGTGCTGTGGGCGGGAGGCACTCACTTGATCGAACGACGTTTTAGCGAACGCCCACGTTTGACCGAATGACACTTTAGCGAATAGTCGGACGCCGCGAAGCGGCGTTTTCGGGTGGGCCAAATGGGTTCACATTTTTGTGATGAGCCGCCGCAGACTGTCGCCGCGAAGCGGCGTAAAGCGGAGCGCGGCGGATGGGTTAACGCGCGCCCCCGTTATTCGCTAAAACGTTGATTCGCTCAAATGTCGCTGTTCGATAAAACGTCATTCGTTCATGTGGTATGGAGCCGCTGTGGGCGTTGCCGAGCGATTCCGAAAAACCGCTTGTCACCGTTTTACTGGTTCCCGACGTGCCAGATTTTCGTCAAAAGTAAGCAAAACTTAAAACAATGGCTTGCAAGCGTCCCGGCTGGTGCCTCTGTCGTGCAGTCATGTCCGCGCGCACATGAGGGCAACTTTGGCAGGCTTTCATTTGCATGTGCTTCGTCGCGCGAGCGGAGATGGCTGTTCGATCGAAACAGACACCATGCCACTCCGCTCCATCGCCAACTGGTTTCCAAAATTGTATGCAAAATACGACAAAAAACAGTCCAGCGGCACGTGCTTTCCTGGCCGGCAGGCGAGGTACAAGCTAGAGCACTATATAGCTCCTACGGAGCAGAGTAGCGCAATCCTTTGAACTCCGTGTTTTGCCGACAACATGGCCGACAGAGCGGACGTGGTACTCAGGGTTCCAGGAGGCGGCCAGCCCTAGGGGAGAATACATGGAGATCGACTCAACACGGCTGATTAAAAAATGAACGTCGAGTTCACACTTTTCAAAACTAGTCTGTCGTGAATTTAGTAAAGCACTAAACATTTTATCAAAGTTTTAATAATATCGGATGCGTGTGCAAATTTTGAGAAGGCAATTTCCAAGTCAATGGCGTTTGAAGCAGACGATTTTTGCTCGCAGCGGAGATGGGCTTTCCGGGTTGGCCGGAGCGGGTCACGTGAATGGTGTGACGTCGCCGTGTCGTCTGCTGCATGATGCCGCTCAGGCAATTGTTTTAAAAAAGTCACGTCCTTGCGGGGCACAAAACTTAGCGAAAATTATTCTAAAATGTTCCATTATTATGTCAAAAACGATTGCCATTCCGTACATCCCCACAATACTGAAGAAACGACGATTTTCTCACATTCTTCATGCATTTCTGACCGCAGTTGGAACCTCCGGGCGTTCGCCACTAGTCGCCGAGAGGCGGCGTTCTAGATTGCGCTACTCTGCTCCAAAGGAGCTATATAGTGCTCTAGTAGAAGCTAAACACACAGAAAAAAGAACCTGAGCGAGTCAGGTCAAAACAAGACATCGCGAGTCAGGGTCAAAAAGCACTTACTTGGAGCGCTTTGTACAACGACTGAAGCACTGAAGCGTCAACACATGCCCGCGTCTATCATTGATTTTTTTTTTTTTTTAAGACGCGAGAAAAAAATTAGGGTTGTGTGTGTGTTTATACAGCCTAGAACTTGGTCTGCCTCACAGGGGCGACGCGTCTCCCAGCTGTAGATGAGAAATTTAGCCAGTGCGGTACAACCGCTAGCCTGGGGTCTTTAACGTGCACCACGCTGTAGTGATACAGTGATACTGCGTGACGAGACACATGGACGACGCGAGCGTGAAACGAGAGGTGGCGGGAAAAACTATGTAAAACCAGATGGACGATTGATACAGAGTACTTTTTGTTGGGCGGCCGCTTGCGCTACCTAGCTCATGCATGCTCAATTACGGTACTCAGTTTAGTTTCGGTTTTGAAAGACGACAGAAATTGGTCCTTTGGCGCAGGCTTGGCGCAGATTACCCATATTTCGGCAAAATGTAGCAGGATGTAGCAGGGTTAGCCCCTTGGCGCAGTTTGGCGCAATTGGCGCAGCAATCACATCACTGCTGTACACCAAACAGATCTCCGATAAAATCCAGTATTAATGGCCACCCATGATGAGGAGATAAATGGTGAAATATATTGGGTAGGCGATCATAGGGGGCGACGAGACGAAAGTTTATCAAAAATGAGGGATAAACACCTTGGCACTCGCTGTCAACCACACGATACGGGAACCGATATTGCGGATTGAGGACACAGCAGATTAACGTTCTACGATGCGATAATGCGATAAGCATGCAGCAACTCACTACGGACTTTCTTGTCACGGAACTGAGATTGAGGCGTAGGACCGTGGAGACTGGACTCACCGTTGGTTCGGAGCTCTCTTCCTGGCTGCTCATGGCACGCCGGGTACCGGACGTCGACCGGCACTGTTTGGGTGTCCGGACGAGGCCTGACTTCCGCACCAACCGGGACTTCCGGACAGGCTCGGCTTCTTCGACCGGCTCCGACTCGGGCTCCAGTTTCTGGATCCGCTGCGACTTCTTGGCTGCCTCGGGCTCTTGGGCGGCCTCCGGCGTCTCGACGGGTTCCGATTTCGGAACGAGCCCGGACTTCGGGGCGGGATCGGAAACCTGCGTGGCAGTAAAAAAAAGTAGGACACACGGCAACTTGCACTCCACGGTCAACGTGCGGGGCAAGATCGGGAACCTGCGCGGCGGTAAAAAAAAAGTAGGGCACACGGTGGCTTGCACTCCACGGTCAACGTGTTCACAGCTCGCCCTTTCAAATTTTGAGTGCTAGCTATTCCCCCCTATATTTAGGTACAAAATAAAGTAGCAGACAAGACAGTAGACAGGACAGGCACCTGTCTACTCAAAATAAAGTAGCAGACATGACAGTAGACAGGACAGGCACCTGTCTACTCTCATTGTTGTCCCTTTTCCACCATTTTATTTTGTACCTAGATATGCCCCAACTCGTCCAGCAACACAGTACGTACTTTATCGTATTCCCCACATCGCCAGGTCTCAATCTAGCTTAGAAAGGACCTCCGACAAACTTTCAATGAACGCCGAATTTGCCACAGCATTGGTTGAATGCACCAACAGACCCACCCAACCAGCAACTCTAGTGGCAGATCCAAATACTTTTTTTCACTCGCAAATATATTACATTTTTAAACTTGGCCCCCAGCGCTTCTTCAAACTGGAACTGTCTGCCCGCAATGCAGGAGAGGCGACAACAAATATGGGCATATGGGCACGTGTTCACTATTTGGGCAGTAGATCCTGTCCACAAGTGCTACCGGAAAGTGCGGGGAAATTTAGATGTTGACAGTATTCGGCTCTATGTTTTCAAAGACGTTCGCTTTTCCTGGTGCTGAGAAGTTTCGCAAGGCCACCATCAGAGCGCCAGGTTTCAGCTTTGGACAGAGTGGATAAACTGACTGCTGAAAAGGGCCCATTACTTGAATATGCTCACGCGTAAATACTATGTACGCTGCAACAATATCTTGCCCTCTGTACCTTTCTTCCCTTCCCCTCCCTCCTCCTCCTCCTCCTCCTCCTCCTCCTCCTCCTTTTGTAACTGCACATGAGTTCCTTGGAGCCTTATAGGCAGCATTCACTGGCGGCCTAGCCGAGTGCACACCTGCTGATGGGGAGCTCTCGCAGTTCCTTCGCAACGTGCATTCCCCACCATTGAGATTGCGGGTCTTAACCTATAAACGTGAGCTCGCTCCAAGCACGAGCAGTGAACAGCAAGCTCAAATGCAGAGTCCAGTGAATGCTTCAAAGTGCATTCCCAACACAACAATAGTAGATGGCAAAATATTTCCTGCTGACTGAATCATCGTCATACTGCTATTCCCACCCCCAGTTTGCAGCGCTATCTTTGCACAGGTCTACCGACACCCCCCTCGAACAAAACGCTCGAGACAGCTAGGCTACGGCAACGGGCCTCGTTTGCAATCGTCCGGTGCCATCTGTTAGCGAACCAGGAAGCGTTATGGTGGCTTGCTAAGACACATTACCCGGCGATACACCCGCGTCGTTGGCTGCATTCAAAAGCAGGAACAGAACTGTGGCGTGCTGCAACTAAAACGCTAGGCCACACCCGGCTCCACACACTTGCCAACATTGTCCGGTAAGCACTGCCAAAAACGACCAGCAGCCATGCCTGCTATTGGCCTGCATGAGCAGACGACGACCCCGAAAAAGGCCCGATAGTGCCTTTAAAACATAAATGGCAGCATTCGCTCGGAGACGTCAGTCACTGCTGAATTCGATGCACGGCACAGACACATTCCGACGTAGCTCACCGGCAATTTTTGTGCTCCAGAGTTTTTCGACACGGGTGGGGCAGGCAGGCGACAAAAGCTTAATCTGCGATAGGCGATACGAACGCTGCAGTAAAAGCGGCACATACCCCCGTTGTGCCGAGAGGGGGGAGGCTCCAAATAGGGCACAGAGTGGGCCCTACACTGACATGCTGCTGGAATCTTGCCCTGCTCCAGCTCTCAACTTCTTCTTCCTCAACAACAATGAAACATTGCCTATTTTATCATTCTAATATTATTCCATTATTATTATAATATATTAATATAAAATATTATTCCAATAACATTTTATTATATTATTATCATATTATTTTAAAAACAGATTCTAAAATAATTATTCAATTATTATTCCACAACCCCAGAATGCTGAGGATAGACTACTTCCAAAAATTCCCGCATGCAACACTGCGCATGTTGCATTTTAAAGCTCGACCACCTCCTCTATACTTACGACCACGTCACCCGGAGTTAGCCTACGAGGAGTGCTGTCTCCCAATGTAGCCGATGTAGTTTCGCGCCGTCCCACTAGAGGGCGCCATTACTCGGCTGCTCAAGGCATGCCAGAAATGCTTGGGTAATGGGCATGTGCGTGCTCGGCGCGGTCGCAAATTGTTTATGAATGGTTTGCTTTCACCGTTATTTAACGCAAATTCACCGAATGAAGGACACTACTCTCAAAATCCCCTTCAAAAAAAGAAAATAAAACAGCACGTAAACGGAGTTCTATTTTACTCTCGAGGACGTCGTCAAATATTTTTCATAAATAAGCCAACGAACAGAGTACCATGGAACTTTTCACAAAGGTGTCTTTAGGTGCTGCATTTCTCATACCAAAATTTCGTGTGTGTGTGTTTTTGTGGAAAAAATATTTCAAGAAAAGAGACACCTGTTCTTTCTTCCTATGTGCGGGAGGCCAGCAAAAAGTAAACCATCGGGTTAACGCCTCTATTTGTGTATTCTACCACACACGCTCGGACCTTCTGGATCTGCTTTAGGCTGTTCGTTTCTCAGAAGCTCTCCTGGTGCCGTACGTTAATAGCAGCATCGACTCGACCGTTTGTTTCCGTTTTCCTACCGCATGCAAAGTTTTTCTTTTCTTGTATTTTTTCCATAAACACTCACAAATTTCGAGTATGATCAATACACCATCTAAAAACACCTGTAGATAAAACTTGTAAAAACACCTGTATGTAAAAACCACCTGTAAATTGGGAGACGAAAGAAAAAAACAACACATACACATCTCTGGGGTTTGTGTTGAATCCAAATTTTATGAAATCAATGTTCCAAAGATCCTGAAATGAAAACACATGTTCGCTTTCTGAAGCGTTTACACATGCGGATTCGCGGGCGAATCCGCACTCGCAGAAAGTGGGTTTTGGAGCCGGGTGGCGAAATCAACCAGATTCCAAAATCCCCTTCTCGCCTGTGCGGATTTGCCCGTGAATCAGCAATTGTAAACACGCCATTCCACGAACTGAGGAAAGACCACGGCAGACTTTCACGCGACAGGCCCATGCCAGCCAGCGCTCGTAATGCACATGCATTCTTTGCCCAAACAACTCAAACTGCTGATTTTTGAAAAATGTGGATGACTGGGAAAATTCTCGGTTTGCGAACTTCTAAGAAGGTCGGATGGACTCGACCCACTGAACTCTGCTGATAGACTCAGCATGGGGGTTGTTAAATGTGTGTGTGTGTGTGTGTGTGTGTGTGTGTGTGTGTGTGTGTGTGTGTGTGTGTGTGTGTGTGTGTGTGTGTGTGTGTGTGTGTGTGTGTGTGTGTGTGTGTGTGTGTGTGTGTGTGTGTGTGTGTGTGTGTGTGTGTGTGTGTGTGTGTGGGGGGGGGGGGGGGGGGGGGGGGGGGGGGGGGGGGGGGGTATAAATTACTGATTACAGCTCTACTGCACGAGTGCTAATTTTTTAGGTGTACACTAATTGCAACATTTGCAGCTTCCTCCAGTTTCGTTTTCTTTTCAACGAGAGGTGCGGATCAGACTTTGTGCCCGAGATGGGTGGTAGCTGCAGTGGTATGCCTAGCTTTTCGTGCGTTGGCTTTTGGAACGTTCTGTCTTTTCAGATCCATTTTAGAGCGCGGCTCTTAGGCGCCCGTTTCCGGCTTGAGCGGCGTCGCCGTCGGCGTAACCAAGGTCACCCCAAGGTCACGTGACCCCTCCCAAGGTCAGCCCAAGGTCACGTGACTCCCGAAATCACGTGACCCCCCGAGGGCACGTGGCCCCCCTCCCCGAGGTCACGTGACCCCCTCCCCCTCCCCTGAAGTCACGCAACACCCCCAGGTCACGTGACCCCCTCCCCCCCGGGGTCAGGTGACCCCCCGGAGCATATTAAAGAATGAGGGGTGGAGGAGGAGAAGGAGGAGGAGGGGTCTACCCTCCCCTCAGTACCCTTCCCTCCTCCTCCTCAAGAGCTGCACTCCAATTCGGCGTTACAGGGAGTTGTAAACGGCTTTCACTTTTTTAGCCACATCTTTTCTTAGATCATATTTTCTTCCCAGCGGCGTCTTGTCATTTCGACCACTCGTAGCGTTGTTTTGAACGCTGTGCGCACATACAAATCTTTTTCTTTATGTGGTGAGGGTTTTGTTTTTTTGTTGTTTTTCCCGCCATTTCTTCCCCCGCCAGAAGTCCCAGCACAGCCTTGCACAAGTTCTTTCAATTATCTCATTGTAGTAAAAGCCAAGAAGCCTTTCCATAAAGCATAAATCATTGCTCGATCGGCACTGTGGCACCGAAGCTAATATTCTCGTTGAGAGAAGACAATTCCTCACTCGTATCCAGGCGCCGGTCGAGAGTGTCTTAGAGTGCCTCGCTGCACTTAGCCTCCCCTTTGTGATTTCGGCGATAGTCTCGTCGATAGTCCCGCAGACTCTCGGATTACCAGGATCAGGTAATCCGAGAGTCTGCGGTGGCTGCCACACCAAGCCTCGACCACTTTGTGTTTCTGGCATAACAGTTACAACAGGCGTCTCGAGATCGCCTATCTGTGCCTCCGACTTTCCTTTAGTCGTTCGCATTATGTCGAGGGGCGTCGAGGCCATTCAAAGAGTGCCCGTTCGGCAAGAACAAGACGGCCGCTCTTCGAGCAGTTGCGAGCAAGACGGCGAGCGTCGGCGACCAGTCGATCCAGCTTTTTCCTTATCCTCACTTTCCCTCCCCTTCTCACAGCGTCATCAGTCACTAAGTTCACCTGTGTCTTTAAATGTTGTGCACCGCGTGAAATTCCACCGGAAGTGTGAGGCCAAGTTAGGTTCGTTCCGCAGTTGTCGATTTAGCCC